GTGTGTGGGGTAATTCTTCTCATGACTCTTCAGTTGTCTAGAAGCATAAGCCACTACCTTTTTATCCCGCATCGAACACACCCTAACCCCCGATTGGATGCATCACGTAAAACCTCAAATGGTTTGCTTGAATCGAGAATAATTAGTATGGGCGAGCTGGTCAACCTTTGTTTGAGTTTTAGAAAACTCTTCTCACACCGATCTCGTCCAAACAAAGGGGTGGTCCTTCCTTGTTAACCGGGTTAGAGGAGCTAACACTCGAAAAACCTTTAATGAACCTCCTGTAATAGCTAGGCCAATCCCACAAAACTTCTAACCTCGGACACCGACTTGGGCGTTCCCAGGTCCGAAGCGCTTCTACCTTGGCGGGATCCACTCGCTATCCCCCGAGCGAGACACCACATGCCCCAAGAATTTGATGTCTTCCATCCAAAACTCACACTTAGATAGCTTAGCATACAACTGTCTCTCCCTCAAGATCTCCAACACTACTCTCAAATGATGCTCATGCTCTTCATGCGAGCGTGAGTAGATAAGTATGTCATCAATAAAGACGACAACAAACTTGTCCAAAAAGGGATGGAAGATCCTATTCATGTAGTCCATGAAGATGACTGGCGCATTCGTCACTCCAAATGGCATGACCACGAACTCAAAGTGGCCATATCTGGACCTGAAGGCAGTTTTTGAAATATCTCCCTCTTTCACCAGAATCTGATGATACCCCGACCTCAGGTCGATCTTAGAGAATACTACTGCACCGTGCAACTGATCCAATAGGTCATCTATCCGGGGGAGGGGATATTTATTCTTGACTGTAAGCTTGTTCAACTGCCTATTGTCAATGCACAGTCTGTAGCCTCCATCTTTCTTCTTAACAAGCAGCACTGGTGCTTCCCAAGGGGACACACTAGGTCTGATCAATTTCTTGTCCAACAGCCCCTCAATCTGCATCTTTAGCTCAGCCAATTCAGTTGGAGCCATCCTGTAAGGCGCCATAGACACTGGACCTGCTCCAGGTATAAGGTCTATGGAGAACTCGACCTCCCTCCTAGGAGGTAACCCCGACACTTCATCTGGGAATACATCAGCGTATTCATTCACTACTGGAACTTCTGATCTAACATCTTCGCTTGGCTGTCCCATATGAGTTAGGATAACATAACATTGGGCTCCTTCTTGGATCTCCTTCAAAGCTTGGGAGATGGACAACATCTCAAATTCCTCCGACTCGGGAAACAACAGTCTCTTCTGCCCACAGTCAATCAAAATCTTATTTTGGACTAGCCAGTCCATACCTAGGATCACATCTAGGTCTTTGAGGGGCAAGCAGATCAAATTCGCTTTGAATCTGCGACCTTCTACCACTAAGGGGCATCCACAACAAGCTTTGGATGCAACCACCAGATCAGTTGCTGGAGTAGACACGAACAACTCACAGGTAAGGTCCCTAACGGGCAAACCTAGTCTCTCAATACAATCAAGTGACACAAAGGAGTGTGTCGCTCCAGAATCATACAAAACTTTCAGTCTGTGACCAAAGAGGAAACATGAACCTTGGACTAGATCATTGGACTTCTCTGCTTCTGCTCCCTTGATGGTGAAGACCCTGCCGGATGCTCTCGGTCTGATCTCCGTTCTCTGACCCCCAGTCGGCTGGCTCCCAGATGGAGTTACAGACAAATCCTCTCTACAGTCTCTGGCAAAATGCCCAAACTTCTGGCACCTATAGCATCTAATAGGAGCTCGGATCTGCTGATGATGGAAGGAAGGTGAGCTCCTCCCTCTAAACTGGCTGCCCCCACCTGCCTGGTGAGAAGTAGGAGCAAATTCCCTCCTGGGAAAAGGGTGAGTATACGGGGTCCTTCTTTCCGGCCTCCTACTGCCGGGATGGGACCCAGCTCTGCTAGAAGACTCCACTCTGCTACTTGAGGGTCCAGATACCGATGGCACAACTGACTTGACTCTACCTGCCACCAGTCTCTCTGCAGTCTTAGCCCTCTCAACCAGAACAGGAAAATCAGCCACAAACATCGGCACCACAAACTCCTTTAGTTCTTGTCTCAGACCCTCCTCAAATTTGCTGCATAGCCATGCCTCAGTGCTCGATTGAGAATAGTATCTAGCCAGGTGCTCAAATCTGGTAGCATACTCATGCACTGATAGATCTCCCTGCTCTAGCTTCAGAAATTCCGCCTCCTTAGCAAATCGTGCACTGTGTGGGAAATACTTTCCCATTAACTTCTCTCTGAAGCTTTCCCAACTGATAGCTTCGTCTCTGGCAATCATCAGCCTCTTGGTTCCTTTCCACCAAAATTCAGCCTCCCCTGCTAATAGATATACAGCAAAAGTAACCTTCTTATCCTCAGGGCACTCCATAACATCAAAAATCTCTATCCCTTCCATCCACATATCTGCCTGATCTGGGGTAGAATCTCCTGAAAATTTAGGCGACTCGTGCTTCAAAAAACCAGCCAATACTGCTTGCACTTGTGGCTGACTGGAGGAGGAAGCTGGAGTGGGGTTAGAAATTGTTGCTGCTACTGCAGCTGCTGCCGCTGCAGTGACCTCCCTTGATGCTTGCAATTCTTGCATAGCAGCCTGGTGCTGCTGTGCCATTACTACTCCTTGTTGTTGCATGGTAGCGGCCATTACTTCAATGACTCTTAGTATTTGACTCACCTCAGACTGGGGCTGAGGCTGAGGCTGGGGAGGTGGTCTAGGAGCCATCCTAGACATAAGAAGAAATCAAAAATTATAATTCTATAATATACTATAATTATTTTAAGTCTACACGCAGTTAGCATAGCAGGTCCATAACCCTAAGGTTTCCTAGAAATTACCGCTCTGATACCAATTTGTAACAACCCGTAAATTCTACTTAAAATTTTTCAATAAATGAAGGAAGAAAATAACTTTTTCACCTAAGAGAGGTATAATAGTTCAGTTTACATATCCAGAATAGTTGAAAAGAAGAAAAGAAAAGAAAACATCATACATCAAAAGTCCTAATTACACAAATGTTTTACACCTAATTACACAACACAAAATAACTCTTTCAAATTTAGGAGGTCTCTACTCCATTTCTCAAATCACTGGGTCTTACTACCACTTGTAGAAGATTTGGAATCTGCTCACGTGTATAACACGATCATAGCAGGATCCCAAAAGATCAAGCACGCAACAAAAGCAAGGGTAAGCTACCATTTGATTAAATATGTAGAACAGTGTAACATTGCAAACAACACTTATTAATTCACAAACATCCTAAAACTAGACTCACCGGAGAATCTAGCATTTTACAATCACAACACACAACAAGACTGACGCTTTCTGGAAAACTATATGGAATTCAGACCAGTAAGGTAGACACCTGATGAGGAATATTTGGGGTCCCAGACCCTTAAAATTTCATGGCCCCAGGCCTATAATATCATTTTTTTTCCAACCTCTCATCAGAGCAACACATGCATAGGATTGACACTATGCTGTGTCTCCATCGACTTCCCACCACAGATGTCTTCGTCTATATGACTAGGAACATCTTGGAAGTCTGGATACCCTATTACGCCTATCCATAATTCCATACACATTATTCTATACAGTACATCAAATCTATCATTTAACAACTATTTCATACACACTATTCTACTCAGGGTTTCTAGAATCAAACCAACATCATGCAGTTCAAAATGTCCAGTCCAACATTTAAATTCTCAACTACTATGCAATCATAATTCACTTAAAATGGTACATCATTTCTCCTTCAAACCACACAAACCAACCATACAATTTAGAAATTCAATGATAAAAAGATATCTATTTCAAAACAATTTACACTGCAAGATTTCCACAATGCTCACAATACCATATCACATATAGCACGTATATATATCACAAGCATACTCTCATATACATATATCATGTATATATATCACAAGCATACTCTCATATCACATATAACACGTATATATGTCACAATCATCTTCTCATATCACATATAGCACGTATATATATATATATATATATATATATATATATATATATATATATATATATATATATATATATACACCACAATCATACTCTCATATCATATATAGCACGTATGTATATCACAAACATACTCTCATATCACATATAACACGTATATATATGACAATCATACTCTCATATCACATATAACATGTATATATATCACAATCATACTCTCATATCACATATAGCACGTATATATATCACAAACATACTCATCATTCACTTTATTAAACTTTTCATCAATACAATACAACCAATAAAAATTAAAGAAGCCTCCCTTACCTGAGGGTGATGTTACACGTCAACCTAATTCCAATAAAACCTTAGGAATGCCAAAACACCTAATTTGTACCGTTCTCCCCCAATTTGGAAAACCCTAAAATGAAATTGAAGTAATAAACAAAATTAAACCTGAAAACATGTAATTGGGGAGTGATAGAGTAAGAGGAAACATTTAATTCCTTAAATTCTCAAAACCCCAAATTTTAACTAGCAAAAACCCTAAAATTCAAACTTACTGGAACGAAATTCTAATCGATGGGTCTTCTGCTATTCTCCGCCGTGAGCACAACGGCGGTCTCAGATTCTTGATCGGGGAAGAAGAAAATCTTGATTTGTAGGAGAGAAGGTAGAGCTGAGTTATGGAGATAAGGGATATGTTTGTATGAAGAAGAAGAAAACCAGATTTTATTTCTCTTCTTCTTTTTTCTTTTCTTTTAATTACAGTATATTACAATATGTGTAATTCTAGTGTATACAAAAATAAAGATAACACTAACAATTTATATATAACAAAATAGTTATCAAAATTATGTAAACAAAGATAAATTTTGAAAAAAAAAATGATTGAAGATAATTATATAAATTTATATCTCCTTTAAGATTTTACCTACTGGAATCAAATTTTCAGTTTGGATCTCATCCCTCCTGATACTCACCTGAGCATAACAAACTCGCTGTCAATGGCCCTGCAAAGGTCAGGGTTTTCTCTTTCAATTTCCAAGTTTTTTTCTTTTCTTCCAAACCCAACTTCCCTCCTTTCCCTTTACACTCAATCTCCCTCGTTAGTTGACGATGACAATGTTTACTGCGCTGTCTCAAAATTCAATCGCATGCTTGATATGCGTCCTGTTCCTCCCATCTTCGCATTTGGAAAGATTTTGGGATCCCTTCTGAAGATGAAGCATTACTCTACTGTTATTTTACTTTGTAAGCAAATGGAGCTTAACGGAATTCATCCTAACATTGTTACTTTGAGCATCCTTATCAATTGTTTCTGTCATTTGCATCAAATGACGTGCGCTTTTTCTGTACTGACCAAGATTCTTAAACTGGGTTATCATCCAAATGTCATAACCGTGAATACCCTCATAAGAGGGCTTTGTCTTGAGGGTGAGCTTAAGAAAGCACTCAACTTTCATGACAAGGTGTTAGCACAAGGATTCCAGTTCGACGAATTTACTTACGGGATTTTGACCGACGGATTGTGCAAAATAGGAGAAACAAAAGCAGCCATACAGTTGCTGAGAAGAATAATTGAAGGTCAGTCAATTAAGCCTAATGTGGTAATGTACACTATAATCCTTAACCGTCTTTTGAGTGATAAACTTATAAACAAGGTTTATGATTTGTATTCTGAAATGGTATCAAATAACATCAGACCAAATATTTATACTTATCCTATATTGATTGGTGCATTATGCAAAGAAGGAAAGATGAAAGAAGCTAAGAATGTGTTGGCTGTGATGTTGAAAGCTTGTGTGAAACCGAATGATATTATTTGTAGTAATTTAATGGATGCTTATTGTGTAGTCAATGAGATAGAGAATGCGAAACGTGTATTGAAAGCTATGACCCAAATGGGAGTAGTTCCTACTGTTTACCACCACACTATCATGATTAAGGGATTATGTAAGAATAAAAGGGTGGATGAGGCCATGAATCTCTTTAAAGAAATGCACAAGAGAAATATGGTTGTCACTACAGTTACTTATAATTCTCTTATTGATGGTTTATGCAAAAACCATCAACTAGACAAGGCAATTGAATTATTCAGTGAAATGACCGAAAAGGGAATTCAGCCGAATATGTACACTCACAGGATAATTATTGATGGAATGTGCAAAGGGGGAAGACTTAAGAGTGCACAAACGTATTTTGAAAATCTTTTAATTAGGGGAGACTGTGTAAATGTCTACACTTTTCATGCTATAATCCGTGGGCTATGTAGAAAGGGTTTGGTTGATGAGGCACTGAGAATGTGGTCTAAAATGGAAGTCAATGCTTGCACGCCTGATGTCATAACTTTTGAAACCATCATCCGTGCTCTCTTTGAAAAGAATGAGTATGACAAGGCAGAGAAATTTCTTCACCAAATGATGAGGAGAGGCTTGTTGAAACGATAAAAAGGTAACATCTCATTTTCATATCAAACTATATATATAGTGTATGTATGTGAATGGTTTATAAATGATAAAAAGGTAACATCTCATTTTCGTATCAAACTATATATAGTGTTTTGTGAGAAATCAAATAGTATTTTAGGAAAGAATAAATAAGGAAATTTGTATATTTCCTTGTAATCTGTACAAATTTGAATAATTAGGAACAATCCCATAAATCAAGGGATCCTAGCATAAAATAGAGTTATTATATTTCCTAAAATAGTTTAGGTCTCTTGTATATATCTTATATCATCTCTTTGTATTGAAATAATAAAATAAATCATATTTCAGTTAATCTATTTTTCCGGATGGTATCGAGCTTCCGATCTAGGAAGCTCTGTCTGCGCTCGATAAACCCTAAGACGGCGACCTGCATTGCTCACGCATATTTTGTAACCCTAAGACGGCGACTGCATTGCTCGCTGCATTTTTCTTAACCCTAAGACGGCAACCTACATTGTCTGTCGCATTTTTCTTAATCCTAAGACGACGACCTGCATTCGTCGCTGCATTTTTCATAATCCTAAGACGACGACTGCATTGTTGTTGCATCGCACCTTTTGCTATAATGTCAAGGGAAGAAGAGATAGAAAGGGTGAAAACCATTCTTAGTAAGCTGGAAAAACCTACAGGTATGTGTTCTTTGGCATACTCGGGTAAGTTTCCACCTTCTTTTGGATTAAATGTCTCGGATACGCCTTTTAACCATTATTGGATATTGGACTCGGAGCCACGAGATCACATGACATCATTAGCCAAACACTTCTCCACATATTCCCCATGTCCCAAGAACAAGAAAATTGCCACAGCAGATGGAACCCTTATAACTGCAATTGGTCAAGGAATATCCAAATCAATCCTTTAATAACCTTAAAAGACGTTCTCCATGTCCCAAAGTTGTCCACGAACCTAGTGTCTATACAAAAACTTATAAAGGATTTGTCATGTAAAGTTGTTTTTTCCAATGATCATTGTGTATTTCGGGATAAGGATTCTGGGAGGATGATTGGACATGCTAGAGAATGGAATGACCTTTATTATCTCGAAAATCCAAGTCTGCCCAGACAAGAATAGAATCTCTCACTCCTTCATATCTCGAATCCTTGATGACCAACAGAGAAAAAATTATGCTTTATCATTGTCGGTTGGGACATCCCTCTTTTGGAGTGATCAAAATTATATTTCCCTCTCTGTTTACCAAGTTAGATGTTGAGAGTCTTCATTGTGAGGTGTGTGAACTTGCTAAGCACAAACGTATATCTTTTCCAATAAGTAATAGAATTAGCAATTTCCCTTTTTATCTTGTTCATACTGATGTATGGGGACCTTCTAATATTCCAAATGTGTCCGGTACTCGATGGTTTGTCACCTTTATAGATGACTCGTACAAGGGTCACTTGGGTTTTCCTACTTAAACAAAAATCAGAAGTCAGTTCAGTCTTCCTAAACTTCCACTCCATGATAAAAAATCAGTTTGGTCTTAATATTAAGAGGCTTAGGTCAGATAATGCCAAAGATTACTTCAATCATGTCCTTAATTCTTTTTGTCAAAAAGAAGGTATAATTCATGAGTCCTCTTGTGTCAAAACACCACAACAGAATGGGGTCGTAGAGAGGAAAAATGGACATCTATTAAATCAGACTCGGGCATTGTTGTTCCAAAAAAGTGTCCTAAAAAATTTCTGGGGGGAAGCTGTCCTTACAGCAACATACCTTATCAATAGACTACCCTCTAGAGTCTTAGGATCAAAAAGCCCTATAGAAGTTTTGTCGTCTTTCTATCCAAACTTGTCTACTACAAATAATCTTAAACCAAAAGTTTTTGGGTGCATCTCATATGTCCATATTCATAGTACACACAGGGGAAAACTTGATCCTAGAGCCTTAAAGTGTGTCTTTGTTGGTTACTAACCCACTCAAAAAGGGTATAAATGCTACCACCCCCATCCAAAAAATTCTTTGTGTCTAGGGATGTTACCTTCAATGAACAAGAGAGCTATTTCCATCAACCTTATCTTCAAGGGGAGAGTTTCAGGGAAGATAAGGAAAGTAGTGATTCTGGTTTTCCCATTCTTCCAGACTTGACATTTGAACCTAAACGAAATCATATTGAAAGTAGTAATTCTGGTTTTCCCATTCTTCCAGACTTGATATTTGAACCTAAACAAGATCAAATTGAAGATCAAATTGAAGTTGTAACAAATGAAACAAGTCAAGGAATTGGTCAAGCAAAGGAAGTTGGTCAAGAAAGTGAAATTAATTGTGAAACTGATCAAGAAGATGTTGAAACTGGAAAATTTGGTAAGAAGCTGGTGTACTCAAGGAAGACTAAGGCCATTCCAGGATCAAGCCATGTTCAAGAATCCAACTCGACTCCACAAAAAGAGGTAACAATTTTTTCTCCAGTATGCGAGGTTGAAATTGAAACCCAAAATGATCCCGACCTCCCAATTGCCATTAGAAAAGGAACAAGAAAATGCACCACACAGCCACTCTACCCTCTCTCAAATTACCTGTCCTTTAAAAATTTCTCTCCTACCCATAAAACCTTCCTAGTAAACCTAAACACCGTACTTCTACCTAATACCCTATCTCGAGGCATTGTCCGACGGAAAATGGAGGCAAGCCATGGATGAAGAGATGGAGGCATTGGAGAAAAACAACACTTGGGAGTTAGTCACCTTACCAATAGGAAAGAGGCCGAGTTGGATGTAAATGGGTCTATACGAGTGAAATACAAGGCCGATGGATCAATTGAGAGATATAAGGCAAGACTAGTTGCCAAAGGGTTCACCCAAACCTATGGAGTTGATTATTTGGAGACCTTTGCTCCGGTTGCCAAAATGAACACAGTTAGGGTGATATTGTCCCTTGCTGCCAATTATGGTTGGAACTTGGAGCAATTTGATGTTAAGAATGCTTTCTTACATGGAGACCTTGAAGAAGAAATCTATATGGAGATACCTCCGGGATATGGTAAAGATGTTGCTACCAACACTGTTTGCAAGTTGAAAAAGACATTATATGGGTTAAAACAGTCCCCGTGCATGGTTTGGCAGGTTTACTAAAGTTATGACAGTGCGGGTTACAAACAAAGCCAAGGGGACCATACTTTGTTTTTTAAACATTCCAAGTCGGGGGAGTAACAATATTATTGGTGTATGTGGATGACATAATATTAACTGGAGATAATAAAGAAGAGCAACAATTATTGAGTCAATGCTTAGGCAAGGAATTTGAGATCAAGACTTTGGGAAAACTAAAATATTTTTTGGCAATTGAAGTTGCCCACTCCGAGAAAGGGATATTTATATCTCAGCAGAAATACATCACCGATTTGCTCAAGGAAGCTGGCAAGGCAGACTTGCAAACCTGCTAGTACCCCATTAGAACCAAACCTAAAGCTTGGAAATGCGAGAAGAAGATGTTGTCTGTTGAAAAAGATATGTACCAAAGATTAGTGGACAAACTTATATATTTGTCACATACCAGGCCGGATATTGCCTATGCAGTGAGTTTAATTAGCCAATTTATGCATAGCCCAAAGGAGACCCATTTACAAGCTCGCCCACGGAATTTTACAGTACCTTAAAGGAACTCCAGGAAAAGGGATTCTATTCAAAAGGAATGGTAATGTGAAACTTGAAGCCTATACCGATGCCGATTATGCGGGGTCAATTGTGGATAGGAGGTCAACTACAGGATATTGCACCTTTCTTAGAGGAAATCTTGTGACTTGGAGAAGCAAAAGCGAGGTGTAGTGGCTCGGTCCAGTCTTTGACGGAATTCGAGCCATGGCACAAGGTATATGTGAGTTGCTATGGCTTAAAATCATCTTAGAAGACTTGAGGATAAAGTGGGAAGAACCTATGAAGCTCTATTGTGATAATAAGTCAGCAATCGAGTATAGCCCACAACCCAAGTGCGAGCATGATAGAACAAAGTATATTGAAGTAGACAGACACTTCATCAAAGAAAAGCTTGATAGTGGCTTGATATGCACTCCATATGTGTCCTCTCAAGACCAAATTGTAGACATTCTTACCAAGGGACTGGGCTACCATAATTTTGAGAAGATTGTATCCAAGCTGGGAATGGAAAACATCTATTCACCAGCTTGAGGGGGAGTGTGAGAAATCAAATAGTATATTAGGAAAGAATAAATAAAGAAATTTGTATATTTCCTTGTAATCTGTACAGATTTGAATAATTAGGAACAATCCCATAAATCAAGGGATCCTAGCACAAAATAGAGTTATTATATTTCCTAAAATAGTTTAGGTCTCTTGTATATATCTTATATCATCTCTTTGTATTGAAATAATAAAATAAATTATATTTCAGTTAATCTATTTTTCCAGATGTTTGTATGTGAATGGTTTGTTAGTTTGTATTTGAGTCATGCAATGGCCTCTCTGTTACTGATGTATTGTTCAATATGGGATGCATTTTGATTCCTATAACACTTTTCTTCATTTTGAAGATGCATTGAGAAGGGAATTCGGCCGAATATGTACACTTACTCAATACTTATCCATGGAATGGATAAGGGAGAAAACTCAAGAATGCACAAAGTTTTTTAAAAATCTTTTGGTCATTGGTTACTGTCGAGATGTCTGCATCGATAATGTTATAATTAATGGTCTCATAGTTTTTTTATAATTAAATGTCGAAATTTCTTAATGGAAAATCCTCAGTTTTTTTTTATCATTTGATAGTCTTTATTCATGATCTCATAGTCCATAGTTATAGTGAGAAATATTTACTAATAATTTTGGAGGGTACAAATAATATATAATTAATGATTATTAACTTTTGGATTAGCAAAATGATAAATGTATATGAAAGTTTTGGGAGAGGGTTTGGTGCTCTCATCTCCTCTCCCTAGAACCTCACTCACCATAATGGATTGTTTTAGAGGACGTTAGATAAACCTTACATAACTAAATTTTAAAGTTTCC